CCTGCCCCTCCAGAAGTTGGGGACCATGTGGGTGTCACCTCTGGGCCATCCAAGTGCCACCAAGCCCGTCTGGCCCGGATCCATCCTGAGGATCAGCACTGTCCAGCCTCTGCTCTGGGAGGGATAAAATCCCGACGGGAATGCTGGAAGGAGCCCGTGGAGAGACTCAGCCCTTGGGCTTTGTGCTTCCAGTGGCTGTGGGAATGGGGAACTGGGGGATTGGAGGAATCCCCGATGGAATTTCTGCACCAGGAGCCAGTCGCAGTTCCACAATTTTCCACAACTCCACAATTTTCCACAATTCCATCCTTCCTTGGGGCACGGAAAGAGCATGGCTGGTGCCTCCATCGTGCTGGGAATGTCTCAGTTGGGCAAAAAGTGCTTTTCCCCCTCTCTGCTGTTCCTGGAAACGCTGGGAAGGGGCGGGAGCAGCCCCCGCTGCAGCAGGAAGCACTCAGCCCTTCACCCTCTTAGCCGGGCCCGCCGCAATTACATCTCAATTAACCAAATTACTCCCGCTCCTTTCAGCCCCTTCTCCGCCCCAGGAGCGCTCTGGAGCCCCGGGCAGGAAGGGCTGGGAGAGAGGGATGGATCCCGGCGGGAGCCGCGCTCGGCTGCCGGGAATGGGGGCCTGGGGTCAATCCCGCATTTCCCGAGCTGTGGGAGCTTCTCCCGCTCTGCTCCCCGAGGGTTTGGGGGCTGGAAATGGGGCTGGAGAGGATCCAGGGCTGCCCCTGAGCATCCTCATTTCCTGGCCAGGTTGGGAATTTTGGGGATGCTGAGGACCAGCACAANAGTTTTTCCTTGAAAAAATGCAGTTTTTGTCTTGGAAACCACAGTTTTTCCTTGGAAAAACCACACGCAATGGGGAGCATTGCGACGGGACAATTTTAGGATGCCAAGTTTTGTGCAGCTTCCAAAACTCTTGGGAATTTCCCTTTCCCAGTTTATTTCCAGGCATTTTTCCTTGCTCAATCTGGGTTTTCTCCTTTTCACTAAAAGCCAGGTCACTTAAAAATAAAGAGTTTGACCCAAGAGGGAAAAAAAATCACTTTAAAGAATTCCTTTTAACCAAAATCTAACCAGGGAAAAGCTGGTTATTTTTTTTGGGAAGGATGAGAGTGGATTGCTCTAAATTGATATAAAAATTAATTTTTATATCATCAATTCCTTAGTTCGTGAAAATTCTGTCCTATTCCTGAAGATATCCATGAAATATTTGTCCTCCCACCACCATTCCTGTCTTTTTCCAGTTATTCCTTTATGCTTGGGATCTGCCAGTCTTGCTCCACTCCATTCCTTTATTTTCCTTAAAACTGGTGAAAATTTTGGGATTTTTGGTTTGGGTTTTTTTTTTTTTTTCGCTTTTCTTGGGCTCTTGAACAGGGCAAGGCATTAGTTTTCCCTCATTTCATGGGATTATTCTCCCTCATTCCATGGGATTCATCAGCTCCCTGAAGTGGAAGAGGAATTTGGAATCCCACCGCGCCTTTCCTTGGATCGGCGCTTTGGGAATCCCACGATAACAAAACCCCAATATTTGAGACTTCCTATTAACTTGGCATCACAACGAAAAAAAAAATTAATTTGTTAGCTCTGGAAGCAGAATTTTTTTTGGGGGGAAAAAGGGAGGAATAATTCAGTGAGGAAGAAGGACTGGTTAGAAAGCCCCAAAAACGAGGAGAGCGGCAAAACGCAGATCTTCGATTCCCAACACCCCTTCCCAAACTTTGGGGGGGGAGCTCAAGCTCAAATCCGGAGCTGGATCATCCCTAACTGAGGGGTTGCAGCACCAAATTCCCACTGGGAACGCATTCCCAGAGAATTCCTGCTGGTTTTACCTCTCTCCAGGACCGTTTATCCCGTTAGTGCGTTAAGGGGGAGCAGCGGTTTTCCATCAGCTCCTGATGGGATCTAACCCTGTTAAAATGGATTTCTGGGAGTGCAGCTGGACCAGGTGTTAGTGCCCAGATGGGAATCACGTGGGAAATGCTCTCCTGAATCCCATAAATCATCGGGAAGAAGGGGAGGCTGGAGCCGGAGGGAGGATTTTCAGGACTAAGAGCGGGAAGTTGGACAGGATCCAGCGGCTCTGGCTCGTGTCCCTTGTCCCCATTCCCTGGGATGCACTTTTTCTTGGAAAATAATAGTTTTTCCTTGAAAAAACACAATTTTCCCTTGAAAATCCAGTTTTCCCTTGAAAATCTACAGTTTTTTCCTTGAAAAATCCCACGTGCATTCCCAACTTCAATCCTGCTCCACCAGGAGGGATCGGCAGCTGGAGCTGGGGGGCCTGGCTGGATTTGGGGGTACACCCAGCCCATGGAGCAATTCCAAGCAGGATCTGAGTCTCCAGAAGCCCCAATGGCAGCAGGAATTAGAGGGATCTTGTTTAATGTGTTAGGCGGGGATTTGGGAACAGGGACAGGGGAGTTTTTGGCCGTGAAGAAATCAGTGGGAGGAAGGAAGGAAGGAAGGAAAATAAAATTCCCAAAAAAAAGCGGAATGTGCCGGACTTCTGGCAGCACGAGGTCCTACCTTTCAAGAGACCTTCACGGTCCATGTGGATAGACCAGGTGAAAAGGAGGAGAAGGAATGGGAATAAAACAGAGAGAAGCAGAAAGAGCCTGATCAGAGAGAGAAATGAGGAGGTTCTGCATTCACAGGGACAGTGCTACGACCCAAAAAATAAAAAAGAAAAAAAAAAAAAAGGGAATTGTCGCCTCGTTATACCAAATGGAGCCGGGAGAGCCGTTCCAGGTGGGATCAGCCTCCTTGGAAGCCATCCCAGCATGGAAAGGGCCATCCAAGAAGGGCTGGGTGGTGTCCAGGGGACAGTGGTGGCTCTGGGGAGCCGCCTGCAGCAGGACAGGGGTGGCTGAATTCACCCCAGAGTCCTGCTGGGATTCCTTGGAATGGCCCTATGGATAAACCTGAGCTTTTCCAGAGCTTTCCTCCCTCACAAGGCTCCTGGGACAGTTCTGTGCCTGCTGAGATGTCCCCTCCTCAACAGCACTGCCTGCACTGTGTCACATTTGCCCTTTTCCTGGAAATCCTGACCCTAAATCCCCTTTCCTGGCATCCAGGAGTTTCCAGCAGCCTCCCCAGGGGCAGCACAGAACATTTGGTATAATGAGGCACCGGTGCTGGCATGGAACATTGCCCATGGATAATGGTCCCGGCCTGGGAAGGAACTTCCCTGCTTGGGAACACCATTATCCCGGGATTGGAGCAGGATGTGGCGGGATCTGGGGATGAGGAGCACGGAGAGTGGCATGCACAGGGCTCTGGGGACGTGAGGGTGGCNTTTGTTTTTTTTTTGCTATGCCAAGGAATAAATGGCATTGACGGGGGACGTGGCCTCGGAGCTCTCGTTGCCCTCGGTCTCCTCTTTGTCCTTCTTGACCGTGTACTGGCCGATGAAGGAGCCGTCCTCGTTGAACTGGCCCTCGCCCCCTTCGCCGTAGTCCACCAAGCTGTCGTCGCTCTCCTGCTGCTTTATCGTCCCGTCCAGCGAGGTCTGGCTGTTGGGAAGAGGTTTGTTGTCTTCATCGCTGGCAGCAGAAGACAGACAGACAGACACGGCAAGGGTTGAGAAACGGGGCTGAGAACCTTCCCCCGAGGGATGGAGGTCCTAAAAGGATCCGCAGCGGGAATGCGGCTCGGTAGAGCCCTAAATATTGGGGGTCATCTGGGTGTTGGGGGGTGTGGGAGGTGGAGGTGGTTGGGATCTCTGAACACCCAATTTTGTGATTTTTCAGCTCAAAAATTGTATTTCATAACCTCACTTTCCTCGTCCTCAATTTCTTAAACCTCCATTTC